CAGAGGGAGAAGCAGGCTCCCCGCTGAGCCGGGAGCCCGATGTGGGACTCGATCCCAGGACCCTGGGATCATGACCTGAGCCGAAGACAGACGCTTAACCATCTGAGCCACCCAGGCGCCCAAGATGAGCCTCTTAAGACCATGCCCCAAACACCAGCTAAGTCTCCCCATACTTGCCAGACTTTTTAGAATCTAGAGCCGCAGTGCCTCCTCTTCAGAGCCAAGAGCCTCCGGTGGCCCCACTGGGCTTGTTCACTCCGGGCTCAGTCAGAAGCACCACCTTCCGAACCTGCTAGCAGGCCGCTTGTGAAAGACACAGAAAGAGGAATTGAATTAAAAGTCTTTCTTGCCTTTTGAATTTCTGATTATTACCTTCAGAATTTCTGGGCTGAGGTCCCAACCTCAAGGCTGTGAAATTTCTGTTGGTGGGTATATTAATTTGCTGAAGCTGCCATAACAAAGTACCACAGATGGGGTGGCTTAAACAACAGAAATGTATTTTCTGACAGTTCTGGAGGCTGGATGTCCAAGGCCAAGGTGGGGGCAGGTTGCTTCTTCAGAGGTCCCTCTCCTTGGCTTGCAGATGGCTCCCTTCTCCCTGTGTCCCCACATGGTCCCTCCTCTGTGAACATGTGCCCCTGGTGCTTCTCTTTTTTTTTTAAGATTTTATTTATTTACTTGACAGAGAAAGAGTGAGAGAGCACAAGCAGGGGGAGCGGCAGGGAGCCCAAGGTGGGGCTCAATCCCAGGACCCTGGGATCATGACCTGAGCTGAAGGCAGATGCTTAACCTACTGAGCCCCTCAGGCGTTTCCTTCCCCCCTTCTCTCTCTTCTTATAAGGACACCAGTCTTACTGGATTCAGGCCCACACTAATGACCTCATTGTAACTTAATCACCCCTTTAAAGACCCTGTCTCCAAATACAGTTGTTCTGATGTCCTGAGAGTTAGGACTTCCACATATGAACTTGGGGGTGGGCGTGGAGACACAGTTCAGCCCGTATCAGTGGGCTGGGGCCCTGGGAGATTCCAGAAGGTTACTTCTAGTGTATCAGGTGGGCTAGATAGAAGTAGCATGAGAGTCGGGGAGAGGAAGGCCAGGCTGTTGAATTTAAGAGTGCACCTCAGCCCAGAACAGCCTTTTTGGTCTTAGATTAGGGGTGGGAGGAACGCAGAGAAGGTCAAAGTAGCCCCCAAAGGCTCAGGCTCAGTCTGCGTGAGCAAGCAGCAGGATTTAAGGCCCACCTTCCCCAGAGCCAATTCTCTGCAGAAGGTTTTTTGCTTAATACATAATTCATAGCTAATCACAGAAAGTCCACCAAGTCCTTACACACCGCCGACACAGGGGAACCCAAGGGGCAGACACGGAGCGTTTGTGTTTGAGGCTCTGAAAGGGCTGTGTGAGAGAAAGTGATTTCATTCTCCAGGCATGGTTCTGAGAGGGAAGTCAAACCGCCCACAAGCTGAAACAAACCGAACAGCCTTATCTTAGTCTTGATTCCCCGCTCCTCTTTCTTCAAAGCCATTTAGAGGCAGGACACTGTGAACTGTCACTGTCAGAGTAAGTGCCATTGCAAGGTCCTTCCCAGGACATGTTGGGTCTATGACTCACAGGACCTGGAATCTCTGACATTTTTCCTTGACAAACCTTCATTACTTGCTGGTCAGACTCATTAACCAACATAGGCTTAAAATACATAAATATATAAGGACACACACACAAGGAAATAAGCCGGTCCCAAAAGAGACAAATACCGTATGATTCCACTTACACAAAGGACCTAGAGTGATCAAATTCATACAGACAGAAAGTGGAATGGCGGTTGCCAGGGGCTAGGGGAGAGGGAAGGATAGGGAGTTGTTTTATGGGGACAGAAATTTAGTTTTGGGAGATGACAAGAGTTCTGGAGCCTGCTTGCACAACAATGTGAATGTACTTACTGTAGACTTAAAAATAGTTAACATGGTAAATTTTGTGTGATATATATTTTAGCACAGCTTTTTTTTTTTTTTCCTTCCAAAAAGGCTGCTGGAAGCAATCATATAATGGAAAAAACACATGGCTGGGGTCAGGCCAACCTAGGTTAACCCCATCTCTGCCACTCACTAGTTTGGGGGCAATTTTCTGTTTTATTTCCATGTAACAAATCACCCAAAAACTTAGTACCTTAAAACAATAGCAATCATCTTGTTAGTCCTGTTTGTAAGGGCCAGGAATCTGGGAAGACCTTCTGCTGGGTAGTTCTGGTTCAGGGGCTCTCCCAGGCTTGCAGTTGGTGAGGCGCTAGAACTGGGGGCTCGCTGAGCATCTCTTTCTCTTCCAATAGCCTCAAGGCTTCTCCATGTGACTTTTCCACATGGCTGATGGCGGCTTCGGGGCAACTGGACAGCTCCTGTGGTGGCTCAGGGCTTCGGGCAGGCAGCTGCCCCAGGGAGAGAGGTAGAAATTGCATCACCTTTTCTGATCTAGCCTCAGAGGTCATACAGGTCACTGCCTTCACACTCCCTCAGTCAAAAACAAATCATACAGCCCCCAGATTCAAAGGGAGGGGAACTAGACTCCACCTCTTGACAGGAAGTGGCAAAGTTCCAGAACAGGGCTTGGCCAGCTATGCCCTCAGACCATATCTGGTTCACCTCTCCAAAACAGCCCCGCTCACTCATTTGCATGTTGGCGTTGGCTTTGGCTTTGCCACAATGGCAAAGTTAAGTGTTTGGGACCAGAGAGCGCATGGTCCACAAAGCCTAAAATCTTTTTTTTTTTTTTTAAGATTTTAGTTATTTATTTGTGTGTGAGAGAGAGGACAAGCTGGGGGAGGAGGGGCAGAGGGAGAGGGAGAAGCAGGCTCCCTGTTGAGCAGGGAGCCCAATGTGGGGCTGGATCCCAGGACCCCAGGATCATGACCTGAGCCAAAGGCAGATGCTTACCCAACTGAGCCACTTGAGTGCCCCAAATATTTACAGCTCTTGATAGAAAAGTTTCCTGACCTGTTCTGGAAGAATCTGTCAGAAAATACGGTTGCATCCACCTCTGGCAGGTTACCAGCCTCTCTGAACCTCTCCTCCATCTCCAAATCTGTAAAATGGAATGAAGGTCATGTGGAAAAAGTACTTAGCACAATTCCACGCCTACACAGGTAAAGTATAAAATGTAGTTCTTCCCTTTCCTGGCCTTATTATGATTTGAGAGCCACAGAATGATGTTTGTGGCCACAATAGGTCTATTAGCAGTGTCAGAAATTCCCAATTTTAGACACTCCTTGGAATTAAGGCAGACTTTACAGAGAACCTTTTTTTAAAATACATTTTTATTACTCTGGAGGAAAGAAATGTTTGCAAGAACTTTTCTAAAAATTCAATGCATTCATTTATCAGACTCGCTAGAGTTTTACCCTTCAAAGAGGGAGCATCTAAGGGAATGAAAGAGATCTGGAAAATTTGGAATTGACTGAGTGGGGAAGAACAGGGTGGCAGATCTCCCTTTAGCTATGGAGAGAAAGAGGAAATTTTACCTACTTTACATTTGTGCTCAGAGCTGCCCTGCCTCAGACGAAGCAAAGAAAAATGTTTTCTTGGTCTCCCCTTACCCATCACCTCCCTTTCCCATTGCTCGGACTAGCTAGCTCCACTCCAACTGCCTCCCACCTGCCAAGGTCTCCCTTGGATTTTTCTCTCATCATCTGGCTATTGCTAAGGCCAATTCCCCAGCAACTCCCTCAAAGATTATCTGCGCACGACCCAGCTCTCCTCCTTGCACCAAATTCACAAAGGGGCATCGTAGAGCCTATTTATTAAGTGCCTTCGGATTCTATCTCTTTATAAGCAAGTTTCTATTTAAGAAAATAGAGACCCCCAATTAGCACTTACCATGGTAACATTAGACCTGCCAGTCCCAACTTTTCTACTCATTTATTCAAAACCATCAGTTATCAACTCTATATATGCAGTGTATGAAAAATTATTTTCTATCTCCTCTCCAAGTTTTGTTTGATTCCCGTCACTTTTAAAATTCACTTAGCTTCACTCTAAGCAATGTTGGAAGAACTGTTCGTTTTTAATGCAGCTATTTGTTGCCATGTTATTTTTATATCAAATATTATGAGTGTTTTGGGGTGGATGCGAGGGGAAGTATTAGAGACCATTCCCTTTGGTCCTATTAATTTTTACAGCATTCCCCCCTCTTATTTACCTAAATTTGCAATTTCATGCAAATTTTATAAAACTATCCCCAGAGCTCCAACTCAACATTAGCCACAGGCCAACTCAATTTATGCTGCTCCAGGAAGAATTGTGGTTTGGGGGGCGCCTGGATGGCTCAGTTGTTAAGCATCTGCCTTCGGCTCAGGTCATGACCCCAGGGTCCTGGGATCAAGCCCCGCATCGGGCTCACTGCTCAGTGGGGACCCTGCTTCTCCCTCTGCCTGCCGCTTCCCCTGCTTCTGCTCTCTAATAAATAAATAAAATCTTAAAAAAAAAAAAAAGAATTGTGGTTTGGAAAAATTACTCAGCTGGCTCCCAAAAAAGTAACAATTGTTAGGACTGTTGCTGTTGTTCCTACTACAGCTGCAGAGCACTTTGCAGTTTACAAAGGGCTTTCACACCTGCTGCCTCTTTCATGTTCACCATAACAACTACCTTATAGTCATGGTCCCATTCTACAGATTATTACAAAATGAAACAGAATGCACTCTACAGATTGTTACAAATGAAGCACAGAATACTTAAGTGCATTGCCCGAGATCACAGACCTACCAATTTACAGAACTGGAATTCCAAAGACTTTTGCTTCATCCAGGCATTCCATTCATTTATAAATTCATACCTTTTTTTTTTAAAGATTTATTTAATTTTAGAGAGAGAGAGCAGGGCAGGAGTGGGGGCAGAGGAAATGAGAGACTTGAGAAGACTCTGCACTGAGCATGGGGTCAGACACAGGGCTCTATCCCATGACCCTGACACCATGACATGAGCTGAAATCAAGAGTTGGCCACTTAACCGATTGTGCCACCCAGGCACCCCATAAATCCATACTTTCCAAGTGTCCTAGGCACAGGGCCCTCTCAACCAACACTGTTCCTTTTACTCCTTTCTCCAGAATGCCAACCCTTTTCTTCCTGAGAAAGGTTAGGTTGATTTTTTTTTTCAAAGACTTTTATTTATTGGGGTGCTTGGGTGGCTCAGTCGTTAAGCGTCTGCCTTCAGCTCAGGTCATGATCCCAGGGTCCTGGGATCGAGCCCTGCATCAGGCTCCTTGCTCAGCAGGAGGCCTGCTTCTCCCTCTCCCACTCCCCCTGCTTGTGTTCCCTCTCTCGCTGTCTCTCTGCCAAATAAATAAATAAATAATCTTAAAAAAAAAAAAAGATTTTTATTTATTTATCTGAGAGAAAGAGAGAGCATGAGTTTTGTCTCATCACATACCACCTACCTGGCACTGGACAAGATAAATAAGACACCTGGTTGTCATGGAGATGGGCTGGTATAATCTCACCACCTTTGGATGGAACTATCGCTTCGGAGTGTCACAGGCCTTTTGCACAGGATGCACCTGGCTTAGTAGCTGCTAAGACAAAAGGAAGGGATTTCTCTTATAACATTATTGTTGCTGTTACTGTATACTATTTATTGAGCACTTACTATCTGTCAGGCAATGTGGTGAGCATTTCTCATATGTTACTTCATTTTATTCTCCCAACAACCCCCTAAGGAAGGTATTCTAATCCTCATTTTACACAATAAGAAACTGATATTCAAAGAGAGTAAGCAACCTTCCCCAGGTGGCACACTTTTAAATCAAGGTCCCCCTCTAAAACTTACATTTTTAAAAATTTTTTTTTCCAAGATTTTATTTATTTATTTGTCAGAGAGAGATAGCGAGAGAGGGAACACAAGCAGGGGGAGTGGGAGAGGGAGAAGCAGGCTTCCCGCTGAGCAGGGAGCCCGAGGCGGGGCTCGATCCCAGGACTCTGGGAGCATGACCCGAGGGGAAGGCAGACGTTTAACGACTGAGCCACCCAGACGCTCCTAAAACTTACATTTTGAAACATCATGCAATATTGTCTCTCAGGCATGGAAAGCAAAGAAGTTGTTGTTTAATAGATTTCTAGTAATTTAAGTAGATAATTTTAGGGCTGGTATCTTACCCTATTACCCTAGTAATCTAAAGAAATCCAGTTTACAGGCCTTAAGCAGAGTTTGGAGAGGGTCTGCAACTTTAAATTCTCAAGTACTTGAACTTAGAGTAAGCAGGTCCCATGCATATCCTGCCCTCCCACCCTCTCTGGCTGGAAATCATGAGTGTTGGTTATGAAGGCAAAGGGAAACATACTTGCAAGTGCTTTTGTTTTTGTCTTTTCTGAACTCTAGAGAGCATGAAAAAGTTTTAAACCACTAATAAGGATCTATCCAGCAAGACATCAGAAATTCATGGCAATTTCTGCCTCTTCCAAAGCTCAAGACAGCAGAGGCTGGAGGTAGTCACAGTGTATGATTTGAACGAGTGGTGGAAGGTGGAGGGGTGCAGGCCCTCTGGAGACAGCCCCAGCTGGAGGCTGCAGAGCTGCTGGATGGGGTACAATGGCAGAAGGCTGGTAAGGACTCAGCTGAAGAGCAGAATGGGCAAGGGACAACTCTGCACCCTCGGAAAGTGTGTCTAGCTTATAAAAGATGCATCACCTTCATGGTCAATTACATCTTCTCTGTGCATCTCCTATTCGTAGGTGGTTACTGGGCTGCCATGGGAGAGCATGGAACTGCTTGAAACTGGGCAGTGAAGGAAGGCTCTCTAAAGAGAGAATTTATGAGTTGAGACCAGAGTGATAAGATGAAGTTTTAATATTAGACACCAGGGAGAGGCATCTGAAAATGTGTGTTCATGCCTGTAACATCTGTGCCAGGCCCTTCATGTTATGGAAACCCAAACATCTGAAAAGTATAGAATTTCCCCCCTTGGGAAGTTTGCAAGATGGTTTTTTGTTATATTTGAATATTGTTGTATCCAATAATGTAGGAAGGAGAGGAAGGGCAAAGAGCCTACCTCCTGGGTGTCAGACAGAAGTGCCACACTGTGTCACCTTACACTATATTCACTTCCTCATTCATCTCATTACACCATGAGATCATCAGTGTCACTGCCCTAACTCAGCAGATGAAAAAACAGAGGTCAGAAGAGTTGAATCCTATGAGGTCATGTAGCCTCTAATTGGCAGGTCAGGATTTGCACCAGGTCTGGCTGACTTTGAAGAACTACCTTTTCCAGTCACCACGCTACTATGGATGAAGTTGGGCCACCAAGGCTGAGAGTCTTTCTGAAATACAGAAATCTTGGTCTGGTGATATCTTGTATAATAGAATTTGTCATACAGAATCATTTAATCCAAGAAGTAAATAGAGTAGTAAACAAAGATCTACCTGATCGCTAATTTTCCTCATTCTCGTCCAAGAGCATTGGAATAGTACTGTAAAAAGCACTGCGATGAGGTTTTTTTGTTTGTTTTTGGGGTTTTTTGTTTTTGTGTTTGTTTTTGGTTTTTTTTTTGGAGAGAGTGTGTGTGAGCACAGGGGGTTGGGGGCAGGAGGGGCAGAGGGAAAGAGAATCCTAAGCAGGCTCCACACCCAGCACCGAGCCCAACACAGGGCTCAATCTCACGACCCTGAGCTCATGACCTGAGCTAAAGTCAAGAGTCTGATGCTTAACTGACTGAGCCACCAGGCGCCCCTGTGATGAATTTTATAATAAAGATATGTAGGAGCTACTAATGGAACACAAACGAAGTGAACCTTGATGAATGAACAGGAGTGTTCAAGGACGCTTAGCATATATAAATTCATTTGCATAAGTCTAAGTCAAATAAATAAGTAAATAAAATTTTAGAAATAAAATCAAAGTGACTTAGATGGGAAAGGCATTTGTTTTCTCAAATAATAGCAAATCCAGAGGTAAGGCAGCCAATGAATATATCCAGACCAGCATCCTGCCATCTTTCCACCCGTCATCCTCAATGTGGGTTTGTCTGCTCAGGCAGATGCCCCTTGTGGTCCCCAGATGGCAGCCACACTTCAGGGTATCTCTTGCTGATGACAACGTCCAGAGGAAGAAAATGAATGTCCCTGCCTTGTGTTGCTTTAACTAGGGAGGTAAACCTTCCTAGAATCATTCCCATCAGACGTCCCTTCAACGAAGATTCAGCCTCCAAATCTAGGTCAGCGGCTGACTTCCCAAAAAGTCATGGCTGCTTGGAAAAGTTAACAGCATTGAGGTCCTGTTGGCAAGGAGGGCGGTGACGAGAGAGCAAACAGCAATGTGTGTGCCACAGGCAAGAAGACATGTAAAAAAGATGGCATTCTGGAAACAATAAGCTGTTAGGTGTGAAAACATCAGGAGTTCTATGCCAGTGTTCATGGTATTTTATGGGACAATGTTCCTTAAGCTCCTAAAGACAGTGAAATATCAAACAATATTAAGAGGCTTTCATTATTTTTTTAAATGTGGGATTCATACAAAATTTCCTTCAAATCCAGGGCACCTGGGTGGCTTGGTTGAGCAGCTGCCTTCGGCTCAGGTCATGATCCCAGGGTCCTGGGATTGAGCCCCGCATCATTGGGCTCCTTGGCTCAGCAGGGAGCCTGCTTCTCCCTCTTCCTCTGCCCCTCCCTCTTCCTCTGCCCCTCCCCTGCTCCTTCTCTCTCTCTCAAATAAATAAATAAAATCTTAAAAAAAAAAAAATCCTTCAAAACCAAATGGTTAAAAAAAAAGAAAAAATACACAGCAATATATATGGTAAAAATGAAATTAGTCAGGTGTCACAACAGTGATGACCTAATAGTGTATCTAATTGGTATTCTGACATGTATATGTTTTTATGATTACAATAGCGATGATTTTTTTAATTAGAAAATTTAGAGAAGCCCAAAGAATAAAGTAAAAATCATCCATAAGCACATCACATGGCTCTAACTGCTTGATGTCAGAGTAGTTTTATACAGAATTACAACAGTGACTTTTTTTCTTTGTTAGAGTGCACTTTCATGTCAATTTCTTTTTTTTTTTTTAAGATTTTTATTTATTTATTATTGAGAGAGAGAGAGAATGATAGAGAGAGCACATGAGGAGGGGAGGGTCAGAGGGAGAAGCAGACCCCCCGCCGAGCAGGGAGCCCGATGTGGGACTCGATCCTGGGACTCCAGGATCATGACCTGAGCCGAAGGCAGTCGCCCAACCGACTGAGCCACCCAGGCGCCCTCATGTCAATTTCTTCTTATCATAATATTCTGTCAAATTTTCTGCCAAAGGCAAGCTACTGCTGATCAGTTTAGGGAAAAGAGCAACAGACCTGCTTCTAAATTAAAGAATTTAAAGTTGCTGTTTTTGTTTCTTTTTTCCCCCTAAAGAGGTAAATTTCTGTAGCCTTTCTACTTAATAGAGCAGGTTCTCTAAACCCAGACTCTGTAACATACATAAGTAAGGCAAGTGGCAAAGTGCTGGTGTGGGATGCTGCGAGAGCAGCTGCAAGCACTGGAGCAAGGTCTCTTCCCAGCGAGATGCAGAATGGTTTATGAGTCAAGGTGGCAGTTCCCAGCACTCAGAAAGGGATAAGGATGTGCTGGTTGGAACCTTCAGGAAGGCTGTGTCTGTCCCATGGGCTTTCATGGAATGACCACTACAAGGGGTCGTGGGGATGTGCAGATTTCTTTACTTTTTCATTTCCAATATAAAAAGAAAATCTGAACATATCTCCATATAATAGCAAACAACAGCAAGACTTCTCTTCTAAATGTCGGGAACTGCCTGGGCAGGACTCCATTATTAGAGGTTGCTGTTTTATTTTAAGTCCCCTTTTTCTTTCCAGGGAACTTGATGGTTTTAATGACGAAGAGTAAAAGCAGTCGGGAGGATGCAGAGTTCCAAGGCCCTTTTGAAAAGTGAGCAGGAAACCCAGTTATTCAGAATCTCCAAAGCCCTAGACTTCATGCGAGACTTTCTCCTGTGGGCAGACCTGTCAGCTGGAGAGTGACAGTTTCTGTTCAGTATCTTCAACCCTTGCTCCAAGTGTATCCAGCAGCGTGGAAGCAGACATAAGGACAGACCCAGTGAGACCAATTAGAAAAGTGTTTCTCAGAATATTGTGGCCAACAAAATTCATTTTTACCTGTTGCCCAGAATGTACACAGATCCAGATGCACACACAAACTGAAACAAGTCTCACAAAACAGTACTTACTTTTTCCTTTGTCTGACGCAATCTCACATTTTCTAATCTGCTTCATTTTTTAAATGGTGAAACCGCATGACCCACCTCAACTGATTTCATGACCCCTGAATAAGTCACAACTGGTGGTTAGAGAAACGGTGAGTTAGGAAGTTGCTGTGATCCTCCAGAGAGGAGGTAATAGGATCTAGTAAAGCAGAAAGAGGGCTTGTAGGAGGTAGGATTCCAGACGGATTTAAGAGGAGGAAGGACTCAAAGGAATTAGAGATAATGCCCAGTTTGGGCTTGAGCTCTGGGTAGATAAAGGGATCATTTGCAGAGATGGGTAGCGTTAACTGCAAGACGTAGTATGAGGGTCAAGATAAGGAGCATTTGAGGAATGCCCCTTTTTGGGGTAAACACAAATGTCTCCCTGAATTTGAAGCAGAGCGAAGAAAAACTAAGGACCACATTACATAACTCCAGAGTGTGTTCAACTTTTGCTAAAAGAGAGAGCAAAATGGGGCGATGGAAAAAAGGCAATCATTAACGGGGAGGAGTGGGCTCTGAGCCTGGAAATTCTACTTGGAAAGGACAGTCCAGCTCCAATTCCCAGGGAAACAGCCCAGATCAAAGACTCACCTGGCGCT